CATTGAGCCACCTTCCCAGGCCGAGGAGAAAGTTCTTAAGACCTTCTCAACCAAGTGGACATGGTGATGTGCACGTGTCCTTCTAAACTTCACAGAAGGATCAGATGCAGGGAACCACAGGCCCAAACCAGCCTGGGCAAGTTTCTCAGCCAGCAGTTTCTCAGATTCCGACTCGGTGGAAGACGCTGGGTGTGGTATTTTCTACCTGTCATCCCAGCTGGGATAGGAAGTACACAGTAAGAGGATCACGATCCAGGGGGCATCTTGGCAAAAGGGCAGAGCAGATCTCAAAAATAACTGGAAAAAAGGGCTGAGGACACAGTTCAATGTTAAGAGCATTTGTCTCAGAGTCCTGAATTTAAAACCTCAGTACCACAAACTAAACACAAAACAGAAACAAGGATGAATCCTCTAGTTTTGCTCTAGTGTTCTTTTTCCCCCCAATAAGGTATGGCGGCAATATGGAATGATGTTCTGAGTAGGTAAATAAGTATAATAATTGTAATGCTAAAGTGATCACATTTTCAACCCCTGTAACATGTTAAGCTTAATGAAACTAGCAAATGCCCTTCTGGTTTATTGATTAGCAAGTATGTGAAATGTTGAAAGAAGGCTTATTGTTATCCCAATTCTTCGATAGCTGAATTTATGCTATTTCAGGGTTTTTTGTTTTGTTTTGGTGAGATGAATATGATAGTTTATAAGGTCTACAGAATGAAGAATTGGTTTAAAATAAACACAAACGATATGGGAGGCAGAAATAGGATTGTAGTTCGAGGCCAGCCTTGGCAAAAAGTTGGGAGAACATATTTCAAAACACAAGTAGGGTATGGTGGTGGAGACAGCAGTAAATCTAAAGCTGCCATTCCTCCCCCAGCAAAGCTAGTCCCAGACAGAAATGTGAAACTCTACCTGAAAAAAATTACTAAAGCAAAGAGAGCTATGCAATGCTCAATGCTCACTTAGCAAGCTCAAGATCCTGAGTTCAACCCCAGAACTATCAAAAACCATAAACCAAAGCCCCTGAAACTAATAGCATATTTTTCACCTTGTGGCTGGTGTATTTACATATTTACAAATGTACATATAAATTTACATATCAAATACTTATGGCAGATGGTAGCTAAAAATCACTGAGAAGTAAGTGGATCAAAAAGGCTCTGATATAATCAATGGATTAACCCACTGATGGGTTAATAAGCCGATGGCATTGTTGGGAGGTAATGGAAACCAGGGGTGAGAGGTCCCTGTAGGTAGCCTTTGAAGGGGATCTCTTGCTCTGGTCTCTTCCTTTAGGACTTCCTGGTTCCTGACTGTCCTGAGTGGTTGTGCGCCAGCACGCTGTCCCTAACACAATGCTTGGGGGTCAGCCCACCTCTCTCTGAAACCTGGGAGTGAAGATAAATCCTCTCTGCCCTTCAACTGTGCCAGATATCTGTGATAGTGGCAAAAAGCTGAGTAATACTGAAGTTCTTACCTTCTGTTCTTTACATTGTGTATCAGTCATGGAGTAGTTAGGAAGAAAGAAGGGGAATGAATTTCCTTCCCCGGTTAGCAGGAGCTACAGCAGTGAAAAATGAAGCGGAGTTCACCCTAGTGTGGAATGAATGAGGACAGGGAAGAGACAGCACCACAGGAGAAAATAAAATGGCATGGGAAGGGTATCTCCTTTTGTAACCTATGAAGATATAGCTGTATTTATCCATACAAACACTTTCTTCAGGAAGAAGACATAAAACGGTAGAAACTCAAAGGTTACTTCCATCTGTATACAATGTGAGGAAACAGACAAATGTCCTTTGACAAACTTAATACTACAACCATTAGGCAAAGGGAGAGTAAGGCGTGGAGGGCTACTTACTGGTGGGGTCCACACTGCCTGGTGGAGGCCAGCAGGAAGTAGCCCAAGAAGCTTTCCATTCTCCTTCCTGAGCACAGGAGGGCCAAGCAGGAGGGAAGGGTTGGCAGGGCAAGAGTATACACATTTAGACTGCTATGGAGTTCTTAGGAGATACCAACATATTACATTACATTCTAATAAAGGCAATCAGAAGGAAACAAAAACAAAAACAAAACTAAGGGGGCTGAGAAGGTGGCTTAGTGGTAGAGTGCTTGCCTTGCATGCATGAGGCCCTGGGTTCGATTCCTTAGCACAACATAAGCAAAAAGAAAAAAGCCAGAAGTGGCGCTGTGGCTCAAGTGGTAGAGCGCTAGCCTTGAGCTGAAGAGCTGAGGGACAGCGCCCAGGCCCAGAGTTCAGGCCCCACAACCAGACCCCCAAAAAAACAACAAAACCAAACTAAGAACCTTGATGGAAATGCCTAGATTTTTGCCTAGAAAGTGTCTTAGTTTCAAAGTTTAATTTAGGTCATCTTTCTCATTTTTGCCTTGTCCCTTCTTCCCTCCTCTCTTCTCCCTTCCCCTCCACTCATCTTTTGCTGGTCCTGGGGCTTGAACTCAAGGCCTGGGCACTGTTCCTGAGCTTTTTTGCTCAAGACTAGCACTTTACCACATGAACCACAGCTTCACTGCCTGCTTTTTGGTGGTTGACTCAAGAATCTCATGGACTTTCCTACCTGAGCTGCCTTCAAATCCTTATCTTCAGCTCTCAGGCTCCAGAGTAGTGGATTATAGATGTGCTCCTAGCTCAATCTCACACTGTAACACCTGCCAGTTAGTTGCCAGGGTCGGGGAGATACTGTTTGAAGCTTGGAAGGGCTTCCAATAGGACAGCTTTCTCGAAGTGAGTGCTAGGCCAGGACTGAAAGGTCCTCCATGTGGGAGTGTCCTTGTAGCTCCATCTCCCTGACACAGCAAAGGCCTGAAGATGCAACCCAGGGCTAAAGAAGCCCAGTGGCAGGAGTTACTTGTGCGGGGCGGTGTGCTCTCTCGTGAAGCTCAGCCTAGTCTTCAGGACAGCGGAAGCCGCAGGAGCCAGCGCAGACAAGAAGCAGCGCACACACCCCTGGCTAGAACTACGCCTGCAAGGGCACAGGGCGGCGGGCTGAGGGAAGCACAGCCCACCCCGCCCCGCCCCCCCTTTCCTGAGGCCTGTTGGAGCAAGGAAGCCGCGGAGCAGGCCTCCAAGCGTGCTCCTTGGGCCGCCCACCACCCAGCAGCTGCGGCAACCCCTGAGAACCTGGCTACAAAGCAGACAAAGGTCCACCCAGCCTCCCACCAGGGACCCAGGGTGGGCCCAGCAAGGTAGTAGTAAGTCCTACATGTGACTCTCAGGCACCAAGAAGTCTTGAAGCTATTAAAACACATCACACTGTCGACACAAAAGACGTTAAAATGCCAACTATACCTTAGGTAACAATACAAAATCATATAATAACTTTATCAATCAGAAAATGAAGAATTCATTTTCTCTCTACTAAATAGTCATTTGAACACAAGTGATGTGTAGATAAAGACTAATCTATCTTTTCATTGTCAATGCTTTCTAAATAACATGCTGCCAAGTCCCTACAGAAAATAACTTAAACCATACATTTCTGTAACTCACATAGAATTAGAAATGTCAGCCATCAGGAACTCTTTAAATATCAACTACAGACACACAACTTTTGTTCTCTTGGCCCATGGCGGGGATGCAATGTCTCTTGACAAAGGGAGATGCAGTGGACAAGCTATGACCTTCACAAGGGGTGATGTGACCCGACAGCACCAGACGGCACAGTTAGCCCTAGTCTCAGCAATCTGAATTAAAATCCCCCCCGCCCCCCACCACCAGCAGCTTTCCCACTAACGGCAAAAAAAAGGAGATGGCTAGGCGAAGGTGAAGTGTACAACACAGCGTGACTGTAGCAAGGTTGGAGATAGGGAATGAAATGAGGAATTAAATAGTTGTCCTGTTAAAAACAAATGAAATGCATCTCATTTTTTATGTATTTTATGTATTTATTTTGTCGGTCGTGGGCCTCAACTCTGGGTCTGGGCGCTGTCTCTCAGCTATTCAACTCAAGGCTAGCACTCTACCGCTTGAGCCACAACGCCACTTTTTCTGCTTAGGTGGTGCTGAGGAATCGAACCCAGGGTCTCATGCATGCAAGGCAAGCACTCTACCACTGAGCCACCTTCCCAGCCTGCATTTCCTCTTTTATTGGAAATGATGTTCTTTTCCCATTACTTCCTGCCTTGTTTCCTGGTGATTTCTTTCTTATTGCAAAACAAACTAATTTTACAACTCTAATTTCAATAAAATACCACAAATGCTATGATAATAGACATAATCAAATGCTATGTATAACTGAATTATTAACTTCATATAAAGTTATAGCTATCTGATAAATCACCAAAACCCCTCCCACAAAGCCAAAACCAAACTAATCCAACCAATAAAACTTCAAAAAACTGCCAAACACATTTTAAGGCTAAAGCAACATCCAAATCCATTCCTGGGTTAAAACTAACTTCTGGGAATGAGGAAATCATTAGTCGCTGCAGTCCTTAGTTTTTGTATTTGCTAATTGAAATGGTTGAACGATGTGATTTTTTTTCAGGTCTCGTCCATTTCAAAGAGCTTACAATAGTGTACAATAAGGTCTTGCTATGAACTTCAAATTTTACTACTAAATATCACAGAACAAGTGATTGGTCAAAAGTATGCATATGAGTGTTCTCTCTCTCTCTCTCTCCTCTCTCTCTAAGTATTTTGCTTCATTAGGCTAATGTCCAGCTGGAATAGTCCACAGCTCTTTCCCAAAGCTATCTAACATTGGACTATAGTCATGTACAGTGTACACTGTATAGTGATATATATATGTGGACAAATATATTCTTTGGGCCTTAAATTCTACTTTGGTAGCATCATCAAATCTGCAAGAAAGAATCCTTCCTTCTCTGTACTTGGCGCTCTGTACATGTAGATTGAGATTATCTGATAAGGAGATGTAGTATCCTTTTAAAAAATATACAAGGAAACGGGCAAGCACACTTCAGTAGGTCTTGTACACTCAATGCACAGTGGGTAGGCAGGATGGAAACTGAAGACTCACCTCTTTCCTGTGGCATTGGTGACTGACTCAAGGCAGGGTGGGAACTGGATTCGGACTGGCTCCCAGGTGGCTGAGGTGGCATCTGACTGCCTGTAAAACACAGGAGAGGAAATGGGGATGGGAAAACCCTTTGCATTAATACTGCAATAGCGCAAAACCAAGACTCAGTGACATTTCAGTTTTATCATCAGAGAAGGCATAGATAGCCGGGTGCTAGTGGCTCACACCTGTAATCCTAGTTACTCAGGAGGCTGAGATCTGAGAATCGAGGTTTGAAGCCAGCCCAAGCAAAAAAAGTCCCGTGAGACGCTTATCTCAAAAACCAGAAGTGGTACTGTTGGTTTAAGTGGTAGAGGGCTAGCCTTGAGCACTGACAGGCTCAGGGACAGCGCCAAGGCCCTGAGTTCAAGCCCCACAATTAAAAAAGAAAAAAAAAGGCATAGATATACATGAAAAACATACAAAGCTCAAAAAGGTATCATATTTTATCTGTTTTTCCTGTTCAATGAAAAGGACACATGACAAACACATTTATCAAGAGACTTGTTGAAAGTTCAGTTATTTTGCATTGAATGAGTTCCAAACTTGTGGACAAATAAAATTGTAGATGAAATTTCCTGACAAACATTTAATGTTTAACAAATCCAACCATGCTGAGCGCCACATAGCCCATGAAGCCTACAATGATCTCCAGCTGACAGTTTCTCATGGTAATAGTCAATCAATATAACAGTAACAGTAAATTGCTAAAAAAAAGTCTTCATAATGAGTCAAAAATTCAACCTAAATGGAGAAGGCCTCTACTGAGAAACAAAACATAGTCCTCTGAAATATAGTATATACAGTCACTAAAAAAGAGATCTTCTGATCCCTGGTGCATATAACGACATCTATTTAATTACCATTTATTTAACATTGGTTCAGTTAATCCTTTCCATGTGTAATGTAAGCTTTGAGACTGGTATCATGTTTTTCATTCCTTTAATCCCTCCACCTTAGCATGATGAATAGATAAGAAAAATAAATCATTAGCTCAGAATATGAATGAAAAGAAAGGACCCTTGTTTTATTGATAGAAGGGACTATCAGTCATGTGAAGGCGGGAGACAGGATTTTGAAATGTAGGAATCATCAGAGGTGGCTGATCATCTCAACTTACTTTCTGGCATAGAAGTTTAGATACATTTTTGGGACTAAACACAGAATAACAATAAATGTTGAATTCGGCATAGTCCAAAAGGTACTATCTCTCATGGCAGGAAGACCTTGCTCCTTTGTCTTCACCTCCTCCTTTTGCTATAATAAATGGGAAGCGTGCGCGCGCACGCGCGCACACACACACACACACACACACACACACACACACACACTCTCTCTCTCTCTCTCTCTCTCTCTCTCCCTCCCCCCTTACCTTCCGTACCACAGACATAACAATAAAGCTGTTTTGCTCCTGTAGGATTTACTCTTCCATAGTTAAATACATTGCAGAGAAGAATCATAACTGAGTACAGAAGGAAATGAATGCCCTGAAGTTTGCCACCAATTCTGCTCAGTGGAGGTCAAGACACACCAGGTGCAAAACCAGGCATTTATGAGGACAGACACTGATACTGCATCTTGCATCTTGGTTGTGGAGGCTTCCTGTGACTGCCGCTCATGATAAAGTCTAATAATGGTTCTATCTGTGACAGACAGGGAAGACAGAGTTAGGCAGATGATTTTCAGTTTAGGTAATAGATGTAAATAGCTGAAATAGCTGTGAAAATATCACTACAAAATGATACTCATATTGTTTGAGGGGGGAGTAGTTTAGGAATTTCGCTTTTTTTGGGGGGGGGTCCTTCATGGGGTTTGAACTCGGCATGGGTGTGGTCCATGAGCTCTTTTGCTCAAGGCTAGCACTCTATACCACTTTGAGTCACAGCACCATTTCTGGTTTTTTTGGTGGGGACTTGGAGATAAACCTCTCTTGGACTTTCCTGCCTGGGCTGGCTTTGAACCACAATTCTCAGATCTCAGTCTCTTCAGTAGCTAGGATTACAGGTGTAAACCAGCAGCTCCTGGCAGGAATCTTACTTTTTAGAGAAACTAAAACTTATGCATTTGTTGCTGCACTCCCAGTCACATGCAAAGTATAAAGACCTGAATTCACAGACATGGAGAAAAGCTGTGAACCATCCAATGAGCTGCACAACTAGCAGGATAAAATTCCTACCAAACAGCAAACTACTGTTAGTCCCAAATAATCAAATGTAAGGCAAAAACATTGAATGTTCTGGACTAGAATAATTTCAAGGGCAAATACTGGTCATTGCGCCTTGGCTACAGAACTACGACGTCTGGTGTCCACTGTATGTCACGCACTTCCTCTGAAATGAAATATCCCATGGCCCTCATCTACTTCCATTCAGAGATGTAAAGAATCTACTGCCAACATAGACTACTAAAAGGGTGACCGTGGAGCCGGATGCAGGGTGAGCATAAGTGCCACATGGTAATCACCATGTGTGCCTGTCCCACTGGGCTCAGACTCACCACACTAACCAACGACTGCATGCTAACTATGGCGCATAGCTTCTGTGCACGCCTCATCTATGTCATATGTGAAGCAAATATTAAGCTGTAGGACACCTGTCTACCCAAAGAGGACATGATCTGGAATTGTGTCAGAGGTATAGTGTTCTCACCTCTGTTAAGAATGATGACATCATTAAGAACATTCAGGAACACTTGCTCAAAGGCCAATGAACAGGAAGTGGTGTGCAATAATAGCAATGACGCATAAGCCTGACCCATCATAGTTAACAAGGAAGTTTGCAAAAACAAATGTCAGCAGCACAACTTAGTTATTGTCCCCTCCAACACAGATCTAGAATGGATGAACTGGATTCCTTAGCAATGAATGCAATCAGAGGCTCAAGACTTAAATAGCAAACACACTCAATGGGTAAACTGTAGGTGAGTACCTATACTGTTATTTCCCCAAATCTTTTTGGTCACACCCAAACAAGCAAATAAAAATTGCTGATAAGATGCAATCATAGACTGCAACTGTTTGTTAGGATGGCATAGAATAAACTTACAAGGACCAGTTCCCTTGTTAACTCTTCTGAGGCTAAAATGCCTCAGGTTAATTCCTTAGTTCCCCACTACCCCAAACAACAGAAATTTATACCTCACTAACTACAAGTCTCTGCCAAACAAACCATACATCCGGATTCAAGAGACACTGTGCTATACTCACCCAACTTTTTCAAAAGTTGCAGAAGCCATAGGAAAAAAATACTTCCTTGTTTCATAGCTAAGTTTTTTTTTTTAATCAACTAACCTAAGGTGGATTTGATTATCCAAACTGGAAAATGGAGGTAATCAACCAATGGACTCAGAATGACAGACACCACTTCAGTGCTAAAAATCCATTCATTCCCACTTTGCAGTTTTTCCTATATCACCTGATTTGGGACAAAAGAGAACAAAGAGGGGACTAAAAGGACTAGATGAAATGACAAGTCAGAGACTGTAAGGCAAAACAGACTTGACTTTTTAGGTCACTACAAGCTTTCATTAAAGATAAACCAGAGCCCCAAACCAAGTACACAGCATTTTGCTAAAGCATTCTTAGTGAGGAAGATTGCTAAGGGTACTGGAATGCAGGGGGAGCTGGCTCTGAGGCCTACTTTCCACTGTGCCCTCCTAGGCTGGCCGGAATGAGCCCTGCGGCTCTAATGATTCTGCATTCCTTTCCTTGCCTCCTAGTAATGCTGAATGTTGGCAAAGGAGTAAGTACTCTGTGTGTGTGTGTGTGTGTATGTGTGTGTGGTTTTGTTAAAAAATAGAATAAAAGGTGACTTTGCAAGTTGCTTCAGCTAGCTACAGTCGTGGAGACGGGGCAGTAATGCAGGCCAGGTGTGGCGTGGCTGAAAGCAGAGCCGCTTCTATTTTGGGGCTTGGGATCTGGAAAGCGCCCTTGAGAGTGTCAGAGACTCAGGGAGCTGCAGAAGCCAGCATACTGAACGCCGGGTATTGTTATAGAAATGTACCCTTCTGATAGCTTTGGTATGCCTGGTTTACAATTCAAAGGTCTTCAGGGCTGTGGCGGAGCGCGATGGTAGCTCCCTGCGATCTGTTTAAACAGTGGTGGGCTGTGAACCCGACTCAAAGAGCAGGCAGCCTCTCTAGGTCTGCTCTAATCCTCGCTTTGATGTAAGGTCAGAGGCAGCCAAGGGGAAACCAGAGAGCAGGCAGTTTATATTTCTCTCACCAGGACAAATTAATAAAAACAAAGCCTAATTTCCCCTTCTTGTACCCATTCTTATTCCTCCTCAATATTTTTCCTCTTTCTAAGATGCTCTTTTTGTTTGAGAAGCTTAATATTTGGCTGCCTTCTGAAGAAATGAGTATAGTGACAGATGAAAGACTAGTATTCATCGTGTAATTCAGAATACGGAGGAAATCGACTGCTGTGCATTTACGATTCTAACAACCTTGCAATTTTGTATAGTCGTTTCCCCCACCCGTTCTTTTGAAGAAATCTGCTTTTATTCTGTTAATAACTAACCACAGTTGCAGCAGCATGGATCCGATTAGCAGTTCTTATGATACAAAGGGGAGAAGAAAAAAAAAAGCTGTGAGCAGGCTGCCAATTTGTCCACCTGGGCCCAGGAGAAAGCATGGTCGAGCGCCTGGCTGCTCTCCTCTTCCACGGATCCTGTACTCTGCTGCCGGACCAAGATGGTTGTTTTTTGTTTTGTTTTTGGAAATCCAATGTACTTCCTACCTCAAATACAAATTTTGCTTGCCCCTGACCTTTCTAGTTCAGGTTTCTCTACCTGGCTTCCTGCACTTTGCAACAACTCTGCTTGTAAACATGTGACCCATGACAGGCCACACACCAATACTCACTTGCTTGGAGCTATTTTATACTTAAGATGACGCACCTGGATGCTCAACTGGAGTGGATATATGATAGGTCAGAATTGGGCAGTGTTCTGCATCTAGAAAGGTCTGGTGTAAACTGACAAGTTCTATACCCACCAATCAGGTGTAGCTAAAAGCAAAGAATCACCTGCTACCTTTCAGGTGGGTGGGAC